TTTAAAATAGCAGAAATTGCCTCATAAATGCAGCTGGAAGGGCTCAATACCGAAGAAAACATTAAACTAGTGATGACAGGAGAAAAAGAACATATTACAGCAAGCTGAGAGCCTTTGGACTAGTATCCTACAAGCCAAGAGATCACTGGTGAGAACTGCTATGCCTCCACAGGTCCATGAAATCTGAAGATTACTTACTCTGACATTTTAACATTACTCTTCCAGAACAAAACTCCTGAATGTATTACCCTGTCTTCTTGAAATACCTGAACCCCTTGTTTCCTCCCAAATTCCATGTCCCCTTTTCCCCATCTCTGAACCCACTCTTACTGAAGGCAATGGCAAATCCCACACTGACATCAGCTGGAACTGGAACAGAGATTAAACACTCTTCTGGCAAAGTCACTGCTTCCTGTCCTGCCCGAGATGCTGGAAGCCAAGCTGGTACGTGCTGACAGCCCAGTATGATAAACTCCTGCCAGAGGACACAGTTTTGGTTCAGCTGTTACTGCCAGGGCACGGAGACAGCCCTCTGCCACTCCAGTCCTTCTCTTACACACCCAAGTTATCCCCATGTTTTCTCCCTGCTCCCAGGAGCACTTGCTGGTTTGTGCTGTTCATCCACATCTGGCTCCTGGGAGCAGCTCCACTGCTTCAACTCGAACAGAAACAGGCCAGTGCCAAAAGCACTTTTGAACACTTTAGAAGCTTCACTTGGAGTCTGCAGTACAAAACCAACAGTTAACTTTCTTGCTAAAACAAGTCTCAGTGAAATAATAATAATAATAATATATTAGTAAATCTTGATCAGGTCTTACAGAAGTACCACATAACTCTCTTAACCAAGGCAATCTACTTCTGAGGAAGACCTGCAATGGAACAGAACACTGGGGTGAGGGCAGTGTTACCTGGACTCTGCTGCACATGCTCTTGACAAAGCCCATCCACTGCCCCTCCTTTTCAGACTGCAACTTCTAAATCTGAATGGAGAAGAATTAGTACTGCAATGAACTTCAATTTTCAAACGAAATTATAAATACTTCATTGGCACAGGCTCACAAGACTAAAACAAAGAGGCAAGAGCACTCAGGTAATGAGACTGCTGAAACGACTGTCAAGTAGCTCCCAGTCTGTGTTCTGCTGAGCTATGCCTGGGTCGAAATGGACACGAATCCCTGGGGACTCTCCAGCTCATGAATGTTTCCTTGTGAAGTACAACGATGTCACCTTGGAAGAAGTGTTTGTGGGAAAAGCACGTTTCCAACAAACTTGAAATCAAACTGGAAACAGTATTTCTGAAAGGTGAAAAATGATCTGTATAAATGGGACTCTGCTCACCACTGCAAACGTGCAGCATCTGAAAAACCTTTCTGAAAAATCCCACAAAGAGGGGAGGAAAGTCATTGTTCTCTTTGCAGCTTTTGAAGCACAAATGGGAGGCCAAATGACAGCTCTGTCAGGACTCTGAGAAGATTGTCCTCCCTGTGCTTCGGTTTCCCCTTTGCAAAGCACGAGTGGCAGTGCCTGTGCCTCTCTGCAGGCACATGAAGTGCTCTCATCCGTGGGGTCCTTCAGCCTCCAGGGCCATTCAGAAGGGGGCATGCAAGGTGTGGGTGAGGGCTGGAGAGCGAGGCCCTGCCACAGAATTCCACAGCTCAGCAGCTTCGCTTGGCTGCGTGGCGACCCCTCTTCACACCAGCACACAAGTGCCTGGAGCAAATCCAGAGGAAGATGATGGAAACCCCCGTTGCCCATTCTCCCCTAGGATATGTCCTTCCTGAAACATAAAGGCTTTGTCATTTCCACCTTGCTTTCCCCAGATTGTATCTTTATGTGAATGCCTCAGGGCATGATTTGCTTTTTTTTGAACAATAATTTCCACAGGACTCAGAGTAAGCTTTATTTTCCAGTGCAAACTGATTCTACCTGTAAGTAGAAGAGCCTGAGACTTCAGAGCAAAGAGGGCACAGACTTGCCTCGGTGTCCCTGGGATTATACATTTCTCTCTGCAAATCAAGCAGTTGGTAGATGCCTGAGTCAAGCTCGGGTGCCTCAGATGACCCAAGCCCCCTGCTCAGGAGTGCAGGAGGGGCTGCCCTGCCCTGGCTGAGAGCTCTGCTTGCTCTCTGTGGCTGCAGACAGGACAACTTACACCTCCTCCCTAGCGATTTAGCACAGGCCTCCGAGATGCTACTGGTTTCTGGAGGAGGGTTTATAGGATGTTTTCCTACTTTTCAGGAACTGCAGCATGATATTTCTCCTTACAACTTCTTCCTACAGAGCTACTAACTGTTCTCTCCCATACCTTCCTCTCCAGCAGATAATCCCATCTAAGAGAGGAGAGGAAAGTCTCCAGTTCTAATCTATGGCAATAACACTTACAGGTTTGGGGGTCACAGCCCCAAGGAGCTCTCAGGCATCACAGGCACGGCTGAAACCACGAACTGAGAGTAACCATTAACATGCCAAACGAAAGGGCCCCCTGGGTTGCATAAAACACCCTAAAGAAATGCCTTCCCTGGACCTCTGGACTGGCAGCACTCAGGCCCAGGGGGTACCTGAACCCCTGGTACTTTCTCCCAGGTAGGCTGAAGAAGCTCCTGCAGAATCTGAGGCGCAGCTGCCCCTCCAGTTCCCCCAGCTCATCTGCTCTGGGGCAGGTCTTCCAGCCCAACGCCCAGAGCTACTGGCAGCACCACTGGAAGCACATATCAAGACACGGAAAGTGAGCAAACTCAGGGCACCAACTTTATCAACAACCCATGGCCCACAGTTTCTGTGCTTGACAGCTCTAGCAGATCAGACAGAAACCTGCCATCCAGTGGGACTCCCACACCACTCCTGGCTCTGCTGATGATTCACTTCTGCATCTCGTCTGCAGTTAGCTGGTGATATTATACAAATAGCTCACTGGGTGGAGCAAGGATCAGTCAGTGTTTGCTTGCATTCAGTTGTTAACTTGCAACACTCTCACTACGTTAACCATTATTATTCCCTCCTACTCTGCACCTCATGACAGGCCTTTTGCCTGGGCCTAGAGTCACTGGAAGAAATTCAGCTTTCCTCTTTTTCCTGTTTCACAGTGCATGAGATGAATTCAGCAGAAATCTCACCCAAACTGGCACCACCTGGTATTTAGTGTATGGTGTTTAAATACCAAGATAACAATATGCTAAAAACTTGAAGAGACTCTGTAATTTTGCCCACTGCTCCTTGTCCTGAGGAAAGAGCCCTTGGCCAGCCCTGGCTCATGCAGTATTGCCTGTTGTCACGCTCCTGAACCCACAGTTATTATCACACACTCTCTTTCTTCTCTGTAAATCATTAGTCTCCCTTGGCTCTCACAGCTTCATCTTGCCCCAGTTCTCTCAATTCTCAGCTTTTCTTTCTTCTTCTTAGCAGGGTCCTCATGAAGCTTCAACAATGGCCTATTAATATCTCTGACATTCCTAATCACTTGTTTTAGCTTCTTTATAAAAAGTGAACTGAGATGCACTGTTCCCCATCCCTACTCTTCAATCCATTGTTAGCCGTTTTCTCCATCATCTTTAGCCTAACCATGACCAAAACTTTATTTCTGAATTTTTCTCCAGTCCATCCTACCCTATTCCCTTTACTATTCGTCCTGTTACCATTTTCCATATCACTTCCCATTTATCCAGATCTGAGAAAATTACATCACTTCTAGTGATATTTTCCATCTCCTCCTTTTCTTCCTCCCTAAAAGAAATGACGCTTTCCCTCAGCACGACTAATCCCCCCTCTTTCAGCCCCTGCCATACTTACTCCCTCCAACACACCCTGAAAACAGACCTGCTGAGACCACCTTGTCTTCTTCAGCCATTTCCACCCTACCAGCCTGACCTCAGGCACCTTGTGCCGACTTGCCAAACGTGGCATTTCTCAGCCTCCATCTGCTTACCCAAATGTCTCTTAACAACACAAGCCCTCACTTCTGTATCACCACTGAGTAGATGAGAGGGGCAGAGTCTTGATCCAAACCCAGGGAATGTGTCTGCACAGCGACACAGGACATTTAGCTGGAACCCAGGAGCTATGTGGAGTTACCTGTGCAGCCAGGAAACCTGCACCAGACTCATTTAGTTGCTCCTCAGAAACATCTTTGCTCCTCTTTCCCCCCAAACAGCCTCTCCTTGTTGAGCTGCACAGAAGTTTCTTCTGCAAAGGACTCCTATAGTTAATATGAGGAGGAAATCAATCAGTAAATACTGGTTCAAGGGACAACTAGGAATAGGTAACACTGTTCCATTCACAGCAATACAAACACACGTGTCCAGCTGCGTCCTCTCCCTCCCACCCTGCTTTACTGCCAGGAACAGTTCCTGCTAACACCTGCAAAACACATATTTTGTGGCCTGATCTTGTTCAGAGCCTCAGGCAGCGCAGTCATATTTAATAATGACCTTGCCCAACAGAAGCCTGTCACATCAACGATGAGACAATAGTTTCACAGGGCAAAACTGGTCACAGTCATGATCGTGATGAGGTTGCACAATAACCTGACAAAAGGCACATCTGAATTGCCACTGGTTGCACTGTTGCAGGCTCTGACTTAATGACACACGAAGGTTTTTCCCAGGTGCTCCAAAGTGTGCTCTTCCCTCCCTTGAGTATTCTGACAATCCACAGAAAAAAAATTAGCTTAATTTTTCTGCAAAAGTAACACTTTCAGTCACAAATTTACACATTTTGAATAGGGTGTTTTCGGGGGGAACATTTTTAGCTTTCCAGCACAAAGCAATATGTAAAGACGGTATTTTCTGCTCTCCTCTCCCATCTTCCTCATCATCGAGTGAAACAGGAACTGACTGCACTTCAGCATATAAAAAAGCCAGACCATGAGATGTGATTATTTTCCTCTGAGTAAAATCTGAGTGCAAGAACTAGGAATTACAGAAGTGCATTAACAAGTGCAGGACACTGGAAGTCACTTACAGGAGATTTTACTCTGCATGACTTTTGGCAGGTGAAGAGCAGAGATGGCCAGTGAGAAGGGGTGTGCAGAAATCCCCATGATTATGTACGAACCACACCATGAACCCTACAGGCAAGAGCCCTCTGCACCACCCTACTGCAGCCAGGAGGGTAAGCAGGCTTCATGGGGACGGGCTGGGAGGGGGCACCCTCTGGGTGGCTGTGGGGCAAACATTGATGGCTGGTTTCCAGGGAATAACTTGGCCCAGCTCTGCCAAGACAGGTTTTGAAAGGCCAGTGCCAGTGTATGAACCCCAGGGCTGGGGTAGGAAAGCTGGTAGGATCTCCTAACTCTCTCTGTCTTGCTTAAACTGTAGACTAGTTTTCCAGAGGACTGGCCTTTTCCCAAATGCTCTTGCTGCTCGGAGCTGCCCTCCCTAGATGAGTCAGTCCTGCAGCCAAGTTGTACAGGGGTGAACAACCCCTCCCCATTGTTGTCTCATGGGGATGCTGACAATTCAGCTCAACACTGCAAGCAGGCGCTGACAGCTGCTGCTCTGCTCCATTGGCCTTTCCCTCTGAAACCAAGCACTGCTCTCACACCTACACGAGTATCCCACAACACTCCTTTGTCCTCTGCCTGTCTGAGCCCACACTCATTGAAAGATGCACTGAGATACCAGTGGTTTTACATTTGTTACCTTCCTACTGTTGAGGAAATTGCCATTCACCAGACAGGACCAGAGCAAAAACCAGAATGGGAGGTCAGCAGGTGACTACTGAGGCTGGAAGTGTCAGTATTTGGTCTCTAAACCCGACTCATTCTCAGAGCATTTTATTCTGACCAGCTTTCTCAGTATTTCTGTCTTCAAAGACTTCTCTGGTCTCTTTCTAAACACAGAAGAGCTTGCAAGAGGCTGGGGAGAAGAAGTCTCACTCGTGAGCTGCTCAGTCAAGGGCCAGGCACTTAACACACCTAACAGTGAGTTAAAGTGTCTTGTCCTTGTACAGGAAGCAGGTCCTTCACAAGAAATACACTGAGTGATAACTCACTTGTAATAAGCACATTCCTCCTCTAGGCCAGAAGGAAATTCTTTACTTTTTGCTTTTTTACAAATTTTTTTGTCCACAAGTAACCCCTTCTCCAAGAAAAAACAACGCCAAAAACTAAACACACCACCACTGCCACCACCAAACCCAACTGCCACTGCAAATCTCCACCACTTCTGGCAAGCCAGGCAAGGAAACATGGCTAGCAGTTTTGAACTCTGCCACTGCATTTTGCCTCACTATGGAAATTCCAGTTTTGTATCCCGTTGTGTAGCTCTGTGGGGCTTATCCCCCAGTTGGACTCACATTATTTCAGAAAGGCTCACAGGGACTGTCCTGCTGCAGACCGCTCTGGCACTTCGATACTGCAGCCATGATAGCTGGTTGTGAAGTTTTATATGTTAATTTGCTTTTAATGTATTCATGAATGTGTTGATTTTTTAAATACATACCTTTATTTCATGCTCAGGAAGGCTGACTGCATTCTTAATTTGTAAGATTAGTAAAAGAACTAAAAATCATAAGGTATCCCAGCCACCAGCTTCCCTTCTCCTTTACCCACAACAAAAGGAGAAAGATCTTTAACTTTTTCTAGAACAAAGGGTATGATGAAATTACTTGGCTGGAAGCTGAGGGCAGTTAAAGTTCAAACTAGAAAAAAGGCTCTAAATACTAATAGTAAGGGTAGTAATCACTGAAAGTGGTTAGAGATACTGCAGCTCCTTTATCAACAGAGTTCTTAAATTAAGAGCGAGTATCATTGTGGTGTTACGCTACAACAGCTGCAGTTACTGCCTCGGAGTGGAAAAATCAACTTGGTTTCTTGGCTTACGTTCCATAGAAGGTGAGCCTAGCTGGTCACTGCAGGCTCCTTTGGCTTTAAAAACCCACGAATCAGTTCAGCAGCATTTTTTCCCAGTCCTGTACTTCACTGAGCCACATTAGGCACCTCCCCACGCAGCTTCTCCTCAGAGTCCCAAGGGGCTTTCGGGAGGCACAGGCTCTGTGTGTTTTCACATTCTGCTGTTCTTTGCACAGGGGGATACGAGTATCCTTCTCCCCCACCCTACTCCAGCCGAGAAACAACCACCGTGGAGCAACCAGGTAAGTGCCAGGGGACTGTATTTCTGGTAATATTCATTGCTCTGAATGCTGACAAAAGTGAAATGGTTTTAGTGGTAAGATCAACAGAGAAGATGGATTTTTGTGACCCAATCACCATCTAAGAGGCTGGAAAATTTCCCTAGAAATGCTGGAAGATAAACTAAGACAAGAGACTCACAAGTCATTTTTCCAGCATTAGACAATCTACAGAAGGACCCATTTTTTTAAAAACCTATTTTTTCAGGGCTTTCAGAACAAATAATTTTAAATCTGGTATATTTTACAGTTCTTGTTCTAGTCACCTTTATGGAACTGGAAAGGCTCAAAGGAGACACTGAGGAAAGGCTTCAAAGAACAGTCAAGTAACATCTCTTACAGGAGGGCAGGAGACACACCTATTCTATCCTAAGACCAGAAGACAGTTAAACTCAGATATGCTATATCTTATCTATCTAACAGACAATACCTGCCTGCTCCTGAAGCTCTGCTTCAGGCTACAGTTTGAACATACACTAAACTTGTTGTAGGATGCTTAAAATGGTATTTTTTATTGAAAACACTTTTGAAAAAATATCTTTCGGGTACCTACAAAGGGCATGTCCTGAAGGAGTCTTACAGACCGGTCCAGACTGAAAACGCATGAAGGAAGCTACAGACTTTACTAACTGGGGACAGCAGTAGCATCTGACTTTGATGAACTTCTAGTGAATACTGAAAAGTTGATCCAGAAAGCCCCTTTATATCCTTCAGATCTCTTCTTCAGGGAGAACATGCATTTTCACACTGTTTTAAATGTCAGAAGATAAATTCTTAGTGTAAGAGTACATCTGCCAGTGGGTGGTGGAGGCTGCCTATGAGATTATCCTACAGGCAATTCCCTGTGTATGTCCTTATCCAAGCAACTACAGGCTGCTGGTAAAAGCAAAATTTGGGATACAGAGCACAAGCAGTACAGTGGATCTTATGAATATAGTTGAAATCAATAATAGCAACACAGGTGCCTCTAGATCAGCCCCGTTAAGAACCTGCGTTCTTCAATTAAAGCTTTATAACCTGTAAAAGATTTCCTATGCTTCTGATTTTGCTGCTTTCTCGTTTCCTCTTGAACTCAGTTTACTTGGTGTCTCAGCCTCCGATCATCGTAGCAGGAATCTTCTCAAGCAAGCCAACCTCCACAATATGCCCTTCCTGCCGCCAGCACATCACCACGCAGGTCACCTACAGGCTGGGCAGGCTGTCTTACCTTCTGTGCACCACCTTGTGTATGGTTGGGTAAGCTTCCATGCACACTTGGATGATTCTGCATATATCAGGAGGTTAAAAAGCAGTAACATAGAAGTTCTAGCTAGTGCTGAAATAGTTTAGTTTCTACTTGATTAGAAGAAGTCATTCTGCCCATTTTAGATATAGACATCACGGCTACGGGAGATGCAAAGTGGTAAATTTAACCAAATATGTTATTATTTTTTGTAAGGTAGGCAAAAATTAGTACAACTGTAATTTAGAATCAGGCTCAGAATCAGAGCAAGGCGTCAGATGTTAGCAGCAAAGACAAGATTTTGGAGGATGCTTTTAAACATTAGAGACTTGGGCAGGAAGTGCATTCACGCCGTGAAAAGGCAGACAGAGTAAGGCAAGAAAAAGCACAGAAAAAAACAGTCAGTAAATGATTCCACACGTGTCCATCTCCTCTTTGGCTGTAGGTGCTGTTTTGGATGCTGCTTCGTACCGTTGTTCGTGAAGATTTTCAAGGACGCAGACCACTACTGCCCGTGCTGCCAGTTTCACATTTATAGATATAAAAGACTGTAGAAACAAAGTTTGTGTAACTAGATGACGTCAAGTCTTAGCTTCCTAATGGCATAAGATTCTTCACATAAAACTACTGCTAGGAAACATATAGGAGTTCACTTAGGTTCTGCAGCTCCCTTGCTGGTGAATCCATCTGGAGTTTACCATCCCACGGTTGGACTGACTTCACAACAAAGAGGCTTGAAGACAAATTTAGAGGGTCACTTGAATTTATGCAGTACTTGAATCATTGTGCTGAGCTGTGAAGTGATCAGTTAGTGAGTACTTCAGCACTGCTACTCCTGTCAGATCTCCAGCCCAGCTGGGACACAGACTCTTCCACACTTCACCCCACCAGTAACTGAGAATTTTGGACATGCACGTTTTAAAGAAGCACTTACCTGCTATGCACTGGAACTGACTGGTCGGGATTTCATTTCTATCTGCTCTTCTTTGTATGGGACCTACCCCTGCAGGGCTGTGGGTGGTACAGTGTAGCTCATTATTTATGAATGAAACGTTAAGTTATGAGACTGTCTTTACTGTGTTATATATGAGGTAAAAAAATAAATGTTATGGTTAACAATACTAGCAAAACATCTCCTGTCTGCATTGCTTCCACGACCCATTGCACCCCAAGCAGAGGTGCAGGTCAGACTGGGGCACCCTGTTTACATTCAAAACCCAAGAACCAAGAGGCAAATGTAAAAAAGAAAAAGCAGCAAGCACAGCTTAAAAAAAAATGTCATCGAAACCACAACACAAGTCCCTCATTTTACCTCTCTGCCTTCCCATTGCAGCACATCACCTCTCAAACGAGGACTTAATAGGGTTTACACTTTACAGAGGACTTATCTTTACAAACCCCTGTAATTATATGCCCAGAGGTGCCCAGACCCGGCTCGACACTGACAGCCGCAGCAGCTGCTGCTGTTTATTCCTGGCTGCAAAGATAAACAGAAGAGGAGAAGAAACCCTGGATGCCAATGTTTCAGCTTCATAAGTATTTTCACGTGAGCACCAGAAGTACCGTGGGCAAGTGGACGTGTGGCATGCAGCACTCGGGCTGCTCCCCTAGCAGGGCTGCCACCTCCCTGGGCGAGGGGATCTGTGGTGTTCAGGCTGCCAGGCGAGTGACAAACAGCACACCCGGGTCAGTGCCAACTCTTCCAGGGAAATCAGCTGCATGTAGAGGTAGCTCAGCCTGGGGACACGCTGCCCCGCTCAAAAAGATGGGAACAGCAAACCCAAGGGATGCTGCTGAGTTTCTGCCTTTCAAGATCTTTTTGATCTTTTAAGATCTAAACTAGAAAGCTTTCCTGGTAAGTCGTGGTAAATAACGCATACAACCAGTAACATTTAGGGGGAAAGGGGAAAAACCAAAACCCACATTAATATATACATAACAAATTACATATGTGATCTAAGATGTGCAGGAAGCATCTAACAGAAATAGGACATTTTTACACCAATATTTGGAGGCACAATAGTTTACACAAATATTTAATAAAAAAATAAAGGCTTCCAGCTACAGCCTGGTTGTTAACAAATGTAATTTCCTGCCGTGCTTGGTACACAGCTAACTTCAGCAGCACCGGGGGCAGAAATCCAGTTGAGCCCAGGCTGCAAGTGAGGTTCGGGCGTAACACACACACACATTTTCCCGTCTTCCTGACCCTGAAGACCAGTCTGGTTTGGAAGACAACAATAAACGGCACCACGCAGATCTCACACCAAACACCAACACTCTCCACCTCAATACCCAAATGCTTGTTTAGTTCCTCTGAGAAAAAAAAACAGAGTCCAACACCTGGAATGTGACAGAGAAGTCGGCATTTACCTTCTGGCCAGCTCTCCCAGTGCTGTGAACTTCTCTGGCCAACACTTGCAATGTCTATCTCCTTGATCTAACCAAAATCATCCTGACTTCTGATCTCACCAAAAGATTGAGCGACCCATGAGCTTTCACTCCACCTCTTCAAAATGACGGGACGAGACAGCGATGCAGCGTTCATCCTATGTCTGTTTTATTTACATATGTACAGTTCCTACAGAGACGGTTGCTCACAAAGGACACTGAAGCGCAAGGCCGCGGCGTCGCCGTGATCCGGCTCTGACGCCTGCTGGCAGCACAGAGCCCGCTGGCCGGGCTGCTCCAAGCTGCGGCAGGGTGCCGGGGTGCCAGGG